ACCCTTGTTGGCTACATTGGTCTTTCAGTCATTCCTTGAATACACCAAACACTCATATGCTCTTGCTTCAAAGTTTTCCCTTTTTTAAAAAAATATTTATTTATTTGAAAGTCAGAGTTACAGAAAGCAAGAGAGAGGTCTTCCATCTGCTGGTTTACTCCTCAAATGACCACAATGGCCAGAACCAGACCAGACAGAAGCCAGGAGCTGGAAGCATCTTCCAGTTCTCCATGTGGCTGCAGGGGCCCAAGGACTTGGGCCATCCTCTGCTCCTTTCCCAGGTGTATTAGCAGGGAGCTGGATCAGAAGTGGAGCAGCAGAGACTTGAACCAGCACCCATAGAGGATACTGGCACTGGAAGCATCAGGCTCAACCCACTGTGCCACAATACCAGCCCCCAAAGTTTTCTTTTTTCTCAATCTGTTCTGTCTTTCTGGAATCCCCATTCTCATATCTCTTCTTGGCTAATACACATGTGCCATTCAACTGTTTCCTGAAATACTGGCTCTCTGGAGCAGTTATTTGGCCACCCAGTCAAATACTGCATGTCCTGTTCCTATGCTGGTCTTCCTAGCACTTTCACTTCCTGAAATTGTCTTCTCATGTGTTTTATTTGTTTGTTTTCTCTTGCCCCCATGATCCCATCCACTCGTGTGTGAAGATGATAAATTTCTAAAAGTAAGAACTTGGCTAGTGTATAATGACCTGCAGGCAACTGATAAAAAATTGCTGGATAAATGAACAGCTGAAAAGAATTCTTCTTGTTTTAAATTTTTCTATAATTTTGTTTGTAGTGTAGTCACATTTATTCATTTATTTTAATTCTACTTTTTAATTTTTGATATGTTCATAAAAGTATATAATTTCTGGGGTATCATAGATGTTTTGATACACATATACATTGTTGTGATGTTCAAACCAGAGTAAATATACCTACTGTCTCAAACACTTATCATTTCTTTATGGTGAATACACTCAAAGTCTTTTCGTTTAGCTCTTAAAAAATACACACAATAGTGGCTGGTGTTGTGGTGCAGCAGGTTAGGGCCACTGCCTGCGATACTAGCATGCCATTTGGGTGTCAATTCATGTCCTGAGTGCTCCATTTCCCATCCCTCTCCAGACTAATACCCTACCACCGAGCTTCTGTCAGTAGCCCACAGCTATTAAAAAAGACATATCTGGGGCCAGCACTGTGGCATAGTGGGTAAAGCTGCCGCCTGCAGTGCTGGCATTCCATATGGGTGCTGGTTCAAGTCCCGGCTGCTCCACTTCCAACCCAGCTTCCCACTAATGCACCTGGGAAAGCAGCAGAAGATGGCCCAAATGCCTGGGACCTCCGCATTCACGTGGGAGACCCAGAAGAAGCTCCTAACTCCTAACTTTGGTCTGGCTCAGCCCCAGCCATTGCGGCCATTTGGGGAGTGAACCAGCAGATGGAAGACTTTCTCTCTGCCTCTGCCTCTCACTCTCTGAAACTCTGCCTATCAAATACATAAATAGATCTTAAAAAAAAAAAAAAAGACATAGCCGTATCTGCACTGATAAGACACACTCTCCAAGGTAAGTTGTCTGACCTCCAAGGCACATTGCTAAGTGAAAAACACAGTGTGAGACAATGAGTACTATGTACTACAGCTGCCTTGTAAAAGAATTCTTTCGTGATTTTTATAAATCTTCCCCTGGAAAGTCTTTCAGGTTTCCCTTAGGGAACAGACTGGGGCTCTGTGGGACAGAGGTGATGACAACAAGACTTACATTTTCTGTTTATATATATATATATATATATATTTTTTTTTTTTTTTTTGGACAGGCAGAGTGGACAGTGAGAGAGAGACAGAGAGAAAGGTCTTCCTTTGCCATTGGTTCACCCTCCAATGGCCGCCTTGGCCAGCGCGCTGCGGCCGGCGCACCGCACTGATCCGATGGCAGGAGCCAGGTACTTATCCTGGTCTCCCATGTGGGTGCAGGGCCCAAGCACTTGGGCCATCCTCCACTGCACTCCCGGGCCACAGCAGAGAGCTGGCCTGGAAGAGGGGCAACCGGGACAGAATCCGGCGCCCCGACCGGGACTAGAACCCGGTGTGCCGGCGCCACAAGGCGGAGGATTAGCCTAGTGAGCTGCGGTGCCGGCCCATTTTCTGTATATTTTTAAGTTACTTTTCAATTATCAATACTCTACACAGATATTATTTAAAAGTTCAGTTTTAAAGTGACACTGTTAGGAACTAGTGAGGAAACGAATGTGTTTTAAGAATTTTGTTCATTTAAAAAGTTGGCTTTGGCGCCATGGGTTAAGCTACCACTTGGGATGGTTGCATACCGTATGGGAGTGCCTGGGGTTGAGTCCCACCTCTGCTTCCAATCCTGCTTTCTGCCAATGTGCTTGGGAGGCAGCAGATGATGCCCAAGTACTGGAGTCCTTGCCACCCACTTGGTGGATCCAGATAAAGTTCTTGGCTCCTGTCTTTGGCCTATCCTAGTCCAGACTATTGCAGGCATATAGGGAGTAAAGCATCAGATGGAAGATCTGTGTGTGTGTTTATGTGTGTCTGTCTCTGTCTGCTACTCCATCTTTTTTTGTCATCCTACCTTTCAAATAAATAAATAACTTTAGAAATAGAAAAGGTAAAAAGTGGTCTACTTTGTAAAAAAAGTTATAAGAAATAAAAACTTGGCTTAGGGGTTGGATGTTTGGCCCAGTAGTTAGGACACTGCTTGGGACACTGCGTCCCATATCAGAGTACCTGAGTTGGAGTCGTGGCACTGCTCCGGATTCCAGTTTCCACTTAATACCCACCGCGAAAGGCAGCCAGTAATGGGCCCTTGCAACTCCTGTGGAGACCTTGACTGAGTTCCTGCCTCCTGGCTTTGGCCCCAGCCAATGGAGGCATTTGGGGAATGGGAGCTCTCTCTATCTCTGTCTCTGCCTTTCAAATAATAAACAAAACAAACAAACAAACAGAAAACCTCATTTGGTTTTGGAGATATTGTATGTATCTGTGCATTTTAACAGAGAGGCTACTGGGTATTGACATTGCCTGAGAGAGCACTAATTTAAGAAACTTAGATGCTGGGCCTGACTTTGCAATGAACCAGCTCTAGGGAAGTTACTCACCATCACCAGGCTATGTTTTCTGAGCTGTAAAATGAAAAGGGTAACTATGTTACTTTCCAACTGAAAAACCAGTAATTCCAAAATAAGTTGGGGCCAACACTGTGGTGCAGCAGGTTAAGCCACCACCTGCAGTGTCAGCTTCCCATATGAGCACCAATTCAAGTCTGGCTGCTCTAATTCTGATTGAGCTCCCTACAAATGCACCTGGCAAAGCAGCAGAAGATGACCCAAGTGCGTGGGCCCTGCCACCTACGTGGGAGACCCAGATGGAATTTCAGACGCTTGGCTTCAGCCTGGCTGAGTCCTGGCTATTGTGGCCATGCAGGGAGTGAACCAGTGAATAGATTCCTCTGCCCCTGTAACTCTGCCTTTTAAATAAGTAAATAAATCTTTTAAGAAAAATATGTTCTAAAGAAGCACTTTTGGTTAAAATGAATTGGGTTCATGACCAGAGCAGCCATTTTAGCTCTAGGTGGCCAAAAGGCACGCGTGCTCTGTGTTACCTGTGGGGACAGCAGGTTGGAATTGCAGTGAAGGCAACCAAGAACAGGCAATTATATTTTTTGGTGCAAAACCATAATATCTTGTCTTCCACAATCACTGCGGGGTCGTTTCTCAATGTATCAATACCTACTTGTATCAGAGTCAAATATAAACTGAATTCGAGGCTAATTATTAAACTATTCAGCTAATTATTATTCCAAGAATTTTTGCTACTGATCTGTACATGTCCTGAATTGTAACAGAGGTTAGAACACGTTTTCTGTAAAGTGCCAAAAAAAAATCGCATGCTCTATAGGCTACACATTCTTCAACAGTGTAGCACACAAGTAGCCTCGGGAAATATGTAAATGAACAGGCATGGCTGTGTTCCAGTAAAACTGTATTTTGAAAAACAGGTGTTGGGCCAGATTTGACCTGAGGGTCATAGTTTGCTAACCCCTGAATTATAATAAATTCCTGCCCTGGGTTTCTCCCTGCATGGTGTCCTTGATTACCTGATTGCCTCACTAATCCCTAAATGCAAAAATAAACACTTTGGTTCTACAACCCCTTCCCTCCCATTCTTCCTTTATGAATACCTTATTTTCCAAACAATATGCTCTCCCCTGTTATCCTGATGCTAACCACATTCCAGGCTTTCCCAGTTTCTTTCCGTTTTCTCCTCACCCTGAATTCATATTTTCCAAAGACAGCAATTACAGTTGTTTCTCTTGCAGGCCCTTGTGGTTATTACCAGTTTTACATGATTTCAGCCTTGCCCTGAAAATAGTTCACTCAAATATCGTTTGTACCTAGGGAACCACAGTCAACCTCATTAAATGTCTTCGAGATATGATTGGTTAACCTCTTGCCAAACATATTCTTCCCTTTTCGAAATGATGCTCAACCTCATTTAACAAGCCACTCTGTTTGAAGAACAAATAGGGTCTGGAGGTAGAATTTGTCTTGGCAAATCGCCTGCAAAGATAGATGTTGGTCTCTGAACTTGATGCATCCCTGGAGAGACTCCTGCCTCAGCCAGAAGAGTTGGCAACACGCCTTAGCTACACAGGAATACCTGGCTCCAATTCTAGACAATTCCTCCCCAACTTCTATCCAACTCGCCTTCTTGCCCTTCCCCTCCAAGCACTCCGGTCCCTGCCTTTTCTTTTCTTCTGTCATTTCCGAGCTTGAAAACTTCACCTGCCACAGACAAGCTTGATGCTGGCAAAGCTCTTCACTTCCATGCACGAAGGCAGGTAGATTATTGAGATTCACTACGTGCTTTAAATTCACTGCCTTTTCTAGTCAGCGATTTAGCTGTAGCCCCAGATAAAGGTGGTTTGTGTGATCCATCTTGCTTTCTGTCTCACTTGACATTCTGCCTTTTCCATGACAGGTTGCTGAATGCTATAAAGCCAGGACTTGTTAAAAAGATCAATAGATTGCCTACCCCCATTGCAGGATTGGTGAGTATCCAGAATTGAGATTTATTTTCCAATATTCCTTTGCTCCAACCTAAGGGTCATGACAGTACCATTTATTACACTTCTCTCCTGCAATATGTATTCCACTTGAATGAGAACGCATTGAATCCATTAAACTGAGAGGTCACTTAAAAATGAAAGATAGCACTGATGCCTAAATGGCATCTTAATCTCTATTTGCATTTTTCCCATGAGTGATAAGAGCCTTCATTCTTAAAGAAGTAAATTTGTTTTGGGGTGAGAGGCTGGTAATTAGGTCACCCCAGGGGAGAAATGTGATTTTTAATTACATTTTCTGATTCCAGTTCTTTACTGCATTTCCCTGGAATGGAGGGGGGCAGGGTAAGAGAGAAAGAATTCCAAGAGAAAGCATAACTCGTGTAAGAAATGGCTATTTTTGATATTAAAAATATACCTGATTTCAATGCCACATATGTAGACCAACTGTTGTAAAGACATAATGGGCACTGAGGTGACCTAATGTCATCTGGGGAGCTATTTAAGCGAAACCCTTGCCCTTCTGAACCTGCCCATGTCAGTCTATAAAGCTGACATCTTCACATGTGGTCAGAAGCAGGGTGTTTTTTCCAAGCATTGATTAGTTTCATATTTCTTGACAGTTGATTTTAATTGTTTATGTTGGCTTTTATATCAAAAAAGGTGGAGGACCAGGAGGGCAACCAAATCTTTGTTCTGAAAAGAACTTGGCCTACTTGCACACATTTGCAAATGTGTGTTCATGTGTACAAGCAGCAATGAGGATGTATGTGGCCTTCTAATGACTCGCCGAGTGTCTGTTGTGACCTCCTTCTTTGCGTGTGCTTTTGCAGAAAACAATGAAAAATGTCAAGAATTTAGGCAAGATTCTAAGATCTTACTGATTGCTGTTAAGAGTTTCTTTGCTACATCATAATGACTAATTGGAATTAGATCTGACAAAAATTTGTGTTTGAGAATCATGGGGATCCTGGGAGGAAGGCAGATGGTTGAAGCAAGTCACATGAAATGGGTATCTTCTTTATTTTAAGAATTGCTATTTCTGTGATGCATTTTATTTTCCATATTGGTCAGTAGTGAGTTGGTGATTCATCATTAAAGACCCTTACAATTTCACATATCAGAATCATGTAGCCAGGTAAGTTAATATGTAGGTAAATAAAGGAATGGTCTTGAATAGTAATATAACATAAGTAATCAATATATGGGTATCATATATTTATAAATACATGCATTAATTATTTTTAAACATTTTATTAAATCAATCTCTTCAACTGTTAAAGCCACAGTCTTAATGATACTGATCAATATCACTTTGGCTCTAAGCCTGTGGCTTCTCCTGACCTTGGAGCTCTGGGATTTCATGTTGTATGAGCAACACTTGGAGCAAAAAGTCAAGACCTCAGGGAAATCCATGGAAACTGATGCAAGTAGAGCTGGGTCTGGTAACCACGGAGGAAGGGATTTTAGAACCTTAATTTAAAAATGTGAATCATAAATAATTTTAGTCAGATTAAGCATTTGGGACATGTATCTTTCTGTATGTTTTTTCTGATCACAGATCCAATGTTATTATTTACATATTGCCTCTGCTCTGGAGCGGTTGGGCAGTGTGATGCATGAAAGCAAGGCAGCCTCAGTTACCTCCTCTCATCTGTATACTTGACTCCTCTTTGCTTTTGCATTGAATTTCCTTTCCACTTGGTTCTAACCATCATTTGTCCTTTTTTTGTCCTTTCCCAATGAACACATCCCTATTTGCCTTTATTCTCTATCACTTGTAATCCTGTGCTGATATCATCTTTAGTCCAGAAATACTTCCTGAAGCAATTACTGCCCATTCACTAGTGGTTCCTGAATCCACAAACCTGGTCCAGCACTGTTCCTCTTCTCCAGTTACCTCCAAACCAACATCTGCAGAACACAGTGGGCTAGCTGTGGTCCTGGCGGAAACTAGCACTGCCATTCCTCCCTCCTGTTATGTTGGTGGACTTCCAGCATTCGCACATCGAACTTAGTGTCTGTTCTCTTTCTACACCCTTGTTCTTTGTTTGCATGACTTCAGCGCAATACAGCATTGACCAAATCAGCATTTTTCACCAAGTACTGTATCTCCAACTCCAGACCTGTGATCTGTCGGTTGGCCAGTTCTGCCTGGGTGTCCTACATGCATCTCAAGCTTAATATATTCAAATTAGAATTACGATGGCCATTCCTACCCACTTATTTCCCAAAGTCAGTACAGGCATCATACTCATATGAGGAGAGTTCAAAAGTTCATGGAAAAACAAGAATTAGAAGATAAATTTATTTTGGTGCAAAATAATCTTGAAATGTGTGCATAGTTTTTTTCAGAATAGGCATTTTCCATGAACCTTTTGAAGAATCCTCCAGAGTCAGCCTCGTTTAGCTGTCAGAAGCATGGCAACTTTCTGTCATCTGTCTACGCCTCTGATTTTCTTGGCCATTGCCCCAGAGCATCTGTCCTTGTCTCCTGTCTCATCTACCCCAGTCGGCTCCCAGTTCAGCAAACACTGATCATTCCCATGTGTGATGCCTTTTCTCATGATACATCTTGGGCATATAATATTCTCCTCCTACTCTTTTTGACCAAAATCCTGTTCGTTTATCAAGATCTACAGCAAAACCAACCCTTGTTGTGAAACCTTTAATATTTATGGTCCATTATCACCTTTCATTATAGAATACAGATAGAATCCCCTGGTATGGCAGAAAATGAGTTCATACGTAAGGGAGATGAAAGTCAGCTTTGTTGAAATATACTTTCCTGTTAACTGTGTGAACTGAAAGGCACATAAGTGGTTTAGTACTTGTGTTAAGAAACTGTGGCTTCAGGCAGTTAATTTGCATGATCAAACTTACCTACGATGAGTCCAAGTGATGTAAAGCATCCTAGTGATGTGTTGAGAAGACACAGTTCTGAGGAAATCATCTAACAGCTCCAAAGCTGGGGAAATAATGGCACAACAGCTGGCTTGCATTTTTCAATACTGTCAATGTCATAAAAGTTATTTCCCCCATCCCCAAAATGCTGGAAAACAGCTATAGATTAAAGATGACTGAGGTGATATGCCAGCCAAGTGTAGTGCATGATCCTTGATTAGGGAAAAGCAGCTATAAGAGGCATTCGTAGGATAACTGGGGAATATTTGAGTAGGAATTAAGCATTAGATAATGAAATTCTCTCAGTGTTGACTTTCCTGCATGTGATGACTGTGTTGTATAGAGAGGAGAACACCTTGAATTTACCTTAGGCGGTACACATGCTGCAATATAGAGACACGAAATGTGGTAGTGTGTACAGCTAAACCTCAAGGTGCTCTGACAAAAAAAACCCTGTGTACATAATGTATAATTATATATATATATATATGGAAGGAAAGAGGGAGGAAGTGAAGAAGGGAGGGAGGAAGGAAGGAAGGAAATGTGGCAAAATGTTGGATCCAGATAAATAGCATACAGGTATCATGATACTATTCTGTTTTGGTGGGTTTGAAATTTTTCAGTATAAAAAGCAGGTGGGTGTTGTGATGCCATGAGTTAAGCTGCCACTTGGGATGCTCACATGCCCCATCAGACAGAGTGCCTGCTTTGAGTCCTAGCCATTCCACTTCTGATCCAGCTTCCTGCTAATGTACATCCTGGGAAGCAGCACTTGAAGGCCCAAGTACTTGATTCCCTGCTGTCCACATAGGAGATCCAAATAAATTCCAGGCTCCTGGCTTCAGCCTAGCCCAGTCCCAGCTGTTGGGAGCATTTGGAGACTGAACCAATGGATGAACAATTCATTCTCTCTCCCTCTCCTTCTGTAACTGTACCTTTCAAGTAAATAAAAATAACCATTTTTAAAAGGTGGAGATTAAAAGAAATTAATTACTTATTTTGGGGGGTTAAAGGAACCTGAAATCTGAAATAAGTAGTAGATCTGAAGGTGGCAGAGGCCGTCTTGGCTTGGTAGAGATGGAGCCTTTTGTGTGGATATTTGTTTCAAGCAACGTTTTCTTTTTCCTTCTACTCATGACAGGCAGGAAAGAGCAGACAGAGATCCCCTCAAATGCATCTAGAGACTTCTAGATTGGTTTGTATTTTGTCAGGGGGTTGACAGCCACTGGCCACTTACTGATCAAGAAGAGGTCTGCAGTAGCAGGGCCATGGGGATCTGAGAAGTGTGGCCAGAGGGTTTTCTGTGCCTGGAACTCCTGCCTCCGTGTCTTAATGGCCTGGTGTTGAGAAGCCAATCCATTAAGATGGCCCAGCTGCTTGACTTGAAGATAAATAGAAGAGTGTGTTTTCATATAGCAATCCCAAATTATAAACACATGTAGATTTACAAAGGCATGAATAGGTGTATTTTAGCCCCTGAGTTGAGCTGTGGTTACCAAGAATTCAGGGGTGAAGGTGTTAAAACAAAGTAGTTGAAAATCATTTCCTGGCCGGAATGCAGAGAGCCTGGGTCCAGGTCTGGGTTCCTTCGGTAACGATTGCTGACAGGAAGCCGCCTGGTGACTGCCTGCAGATGTTTGCATTCTTTTTTAGGTGTTAGTGATGCTCTTAGCTGTGGCCAGGGAGAAAGTCCTCAAATTTAGGTCTTGGCCTATCCAAGACTTCCAAAAATGCTGCCCTTCAGCCTGCCAGCTTGTCAGGATTGCACAATCAAGTCACATCCTGAAACTCAGTTTAGTGGTCATTAGAGAGCTTGCTAAATGTTTCTCCCCAAGTCCCTGCTTATGATAGGAGTTTGGAGATTATGCTTTTTCTTGCTCAGATTTTAATTCTGACAACGGTGTGTGTGCACATATATGTGGGCACTCATGAGGCATAATTAGCAATAGATGGTTTTCCGGTGTTCTGCCCTCCAGTGCTGACCTCTCCTTGGGCTGTCATGAAATATTTGCTTGATCTCACATGTGAATCCATGAAGATGAAAGCAATCAGAAAAAAAGAATTTTACAGATGGAAGGACG